GGAAATGACTAACATTTGGCTTTCTTCCTTTCTATAGCTCATATGGAGTCTTTTGGTAAGTCTTATGAATAAGACTTTCTATTCTGGGTGTAACAAGCTGTGTTTATTGCTTCAGCCCAAAATCTTTTGGGCAGGCCTGCTACTTCAATTATGGTCCTTCCAGCTTCTTTGAGTGTTCTGTTCATTCTTTCAGCAACACCATTCTGTTAAGGTGTTCTTGCTGCTGAGGTTTGGTGATGTATTCCAGTTACTTCACAGTACTGAATCACTATTGAATTTAGAAATTCAGTACCTCTATCTGACCGGATCTTTTGGATTGAGAAGCTTCTTTCATTTTGGATGAGTTTCATCAGTTCTGGAAGCTTCTTTTCAGTTTCATTTTTCTTTTTCAAGAACAAGGCCCATGTGAATCTGGAATAGTCATCTACCACTACCAGGGTGTACCGTTTGCCACTTAAACTTGTTGGGTCAATTGGTCCAAACAAGTCAAGGTGCAGTAGGCTCAATGGTCTAGTGGATGACTCAACTTCTTTAGTCTTGAATGATACCTTCGTTTGTTTCCCTTTTTGACATGCATCACATAGGTGGTCCTTTTTGAAGTTGATTTCTGGAAGTCCTTTTACCAATCCTTTTCTGGACAGTTTGTTGATGGTTTTGAAGTTGAGATGGTTGAGTTTGTAGTGCCATTCCCAACTTGAATTTGAATCAGCATTTGTCATCAAACAGATTCCTTCCTTTGCAGTGCTCCAGTCAACAATGTACATGTCCCCTTTTCTTCTACAGTAAGCACAATTTTATCATTTTTGACATCTTTGATCAAATAGATGTCTTTGGAGAAGGTTACATTGTAGCCATTGTCACAGAGTTGGCTTGTGCTTATTAAATTGAACTTTAAACCCTTAACATAGGATATGCTTTGGATTGTAAGTCCTCCCCTGATTAAGTTTCCAACTCCTTTGGTTTCTCCTTTCTTTTCCTCATTCCCAAATGTTACTTTGGGTCCTTCCCTTGCCATGTAGTTTGACAGTAGCATTCTGCTTCCTGTCATGTTCCTGGAACAGCCTGAATCTATGTACCATTCTTTTGAGTCTGCTGCTCCAGCACCCTCCTTGTATTTCATCAGTGTTGAGCAGCAGCCCACAAGTTAGTGGGCATCTTTCCTTGAATTAGTTTGGGCATCCATGCCCATCTAGAACCATCTAACTCTAAGCAGATTGGTCTATAGCCATTTGTGGTGTTGTAGTAATATGGAATGGCTGTGTATTTGTTTATTTTCTTTCTCCTAAATGTAGGAGAAGAGTGGTTTCTTTTGGGTAGGGTTTGCTGCTTCTTTGGTTGGTAGTTGGTCTTATTGGTGATTTGCCAACTGGTTCTTTGGTTTACTAGGTTGTTTGGAAAAATATGTCTGTACAGGAATTTGGATTTTGGTTTGGGAGCAGGTTGATTCCTTCTTGTGGGAATAGGTTGGAAATGGGAGTGTTGGGGGCTTGAATTTGTTGTTTTCTTAGGTTTGATGGTGTAGCTTGTGGACAAGGAGTTTTTTGGGTGTCTGGAGGGGGATTTGTATCCAAGGCCGTTGTTCTTCCTTCTAGGGATAATCTCAGCAGTAAGGTCATTATGTTTACTATTCATGCTGAGATTATTCATTTGGTTTTTCAGCTCAGTGTTCTCTTCTTTCAAGTATTTTATTTTAGTCAAGGCATCTAAGAGTTTATCATGAATGTTCTTAGTGTCTTGTTTTAATCTTTCATTTTCAGATCTTAAGAGAACATGGTGATTTTGGACCTTCTGAAAATCTTGAAGCAAAGATTCTAGAGTAATACTTGATGGTCCAGAATCACTTGAGCTATAGGAAGAACAAGTGGTTACCTCTACATCATTGAAGTGATCATTTGTCATAAAACATTTGAGTGAGTAGTCTTCTTTGTCAGAATCATCTTTGGTAGCTGTACTCCAGACCCAGCTGCTAACTTCCACAGCATCCTGCCAAGTTCTAAGACAGAGAAGTGCTTCTTCTGAGCTTTCAGATGAGGAGCTTTCATCACTTGACCTGCCTTCATCATCACTTTGAGAATTTTCCTTCTTTTTCTCGCTTACAAAGGCTTGACGCTTGCCTTTGAAGTCTTTGTATCCAGCCTTTTGAGCTGTAGTCTGCTGTCCTTGATATTTGTGTGTCAGTGGGAGAGGACACTCATTTTTGTAGTGTCCTGGTTGTCTGCAATTGTAACAAAGGACAGTATTCTCACCTGATTGAGGTCTTCTTTGTCTTCTGAATTGTTGGGTGTATGGCTTCTTTGAGGCCGTTCCCTCCTTCTTCATGAACCATTTGAACTTCCTCACAAACATTGCAAATTGTTCATCAGTGAGGAGATTGTTGAGTGACTTCTCAGTAGACTTTGATGAGTTGGGTTCGGACACTAAGGCTAGTGTCTTGATTTCTTCTTCTTTTTCTTCCTTTATTTCCTTCATTTCAAACTCATAAGCTTTTAGATCACTAGAGAGCTTATCTGTTTAGAGACTTCTGAGATCTCTGTTATCTCTCATGGCAATAACCTTCATATCCCATCTTAATGGTAGTCCTCTTAAAACTTTGAGAGAGATTTCTTTTTGGGAGAGAATTTTCCCTAGGTCAGAGATTTCTGCAATAATCTTAAGAAATCTGGACTCCATATCATGGATAGATTCATTTGGAAACATTTTGAAATCTTTAAACTTCTTGAGAGCAATAGTCAGCTTGTTGTCCTTTTCTTGCTCATCTCCTGCTCCAATCTTTGTTAATTCATCCCAGACGTCTTTGGCAGTTTCACATTTCCTTATTCTAGGAAATATGGATTCATCAACAGCTTTGAAGAGGATGTCTCTGACAACATTGTTAAGATTGTTTCTCTTTCTGTCTTCAGTTGTCCATTCCATTTTTGGTTTTGAAATGTACATGTCATCTGATCCTTCAGTGGTTCTGGATGTGATGACCTTCATGATTTTGATGGGTCCATCTGTGATAACTTTCGGCATTTCATCATGTAGGACACTCAGATGTGCTTTCATTCTGATTTTCCAGTCATCAAATTTGTTGAAGTTGAACAAGAGATTTTTGGAAAGTTGATTGTCCATTCTAGAAGGTTTTGGGAGAGAAGTGGGTTTTGGATCTTTAGTTCAGACTAGTCAGAGACTGACTCTATGAACAACCCTCTCTGATACCACTTGATGGTCCCTCACAGATATGATGATCAGTAATCTTTTGAGAGATTAAGGATCTACAGTGGAAGTCTTGACCTCTATATATATATATATCAACCATCTGTTAGTGAGTGGACAAGGAGAAGTCTGAGAGACAGGGGAGCTTTGGTGGCAGAGATGTTTTGGACAGAAGCTCTCAATCGGAATACCTTGGTGTGGTGTTCTAATGTCTTCTTGACAGAACCTTTCCTGAGGTCTTCTGTTGACCTTCGAACAGAATCCTTCACAAGGTCTTTTGTTGAATTTGTAAGGTGATAATAGCTTAGAGACTTCTGTTTGAAAGAGGAGTTCTTAGTGAAGGATGAAGAAGACTTCTGGAGCAAAGAGATGTCTTTGGACGAGAGTATAAACAGGCAATAAGCTTAACGGAGAGGTGAGCAGAGGAATAAGCAGTGAGTTGCTGCTGAGGTTACAGCTCACGTTTTTGTTAAGTTAAAGAAAGGTTTGGTGTGTGTTTTGTTGACTGAAAATGAATCAACACACAATATATCCTGGTTCAGAGGTGGTGTAATCCTCCTACATCCAGTCTCACCCTCTTTCAGATGGATTTCCACCAAAGTATTAAGCCCAATACACTTAGTGCCCGTCTGGCTGTTATCATCCAACTAGCTCAGACCTGAAGGTGTTTCACAAGGAGTACACACCACTCCAAGTTACTCAGTCCTTAGATTTTCTCAATTGATCCAGTGGGGATCAAAAGGTACTCTGTTCTATTCTACCACACTTAGGACTAGATAACATTGTCCTTCTAAGTGTTTACAACATTTTCAAAAGTAATAAACTTTCTAGCCTCCAACTAATAACTAAACTTCCAGAATATGGCAATGAGTGTTCTGTCTGGGAAGTTTAGTGAAACATGAGTCTAAACAAAGAGCTGAGTTTAAATGAACACTTTCTATTATGATGGGTTTCTTTTTGAATGCTTGATGTAATTTCTCTGTTTAGAAGACTCTCAAAAGCTTGAATATGAACTCATGATTGTGCCTTTATTTATAGGCATCTCCGGTTGATTAATCTCCTCCGTTGGTTGAGAGGATTTAATCTTTGACGTCGAAAGAATTGTACTTTCATCTTCTTGTGTTGGAGCAGATTATCTTCTTCAGACGCAATTGGATCAATTTGCAAACAGGATATGTAAACCCATACCTTAGGCCTTCTACGCACTATTCACCTACTTGTAGGTTTTTGGCTTCACATGCAACTCTGCGTGTGTAGTGTCTCGTGCTTTTGTAGATACTGTGGACTTTGTGACTTTAGTCTTTTTGTATCGAATAATTTTGTACTGGTAGGATTTAAATATCCTTTGAAGGTAAAGGAAAATTACCTTATTACTTTTTATATTTCCAGTACAATTTGTTCGACAATTTGGTCACAATTTTACTAGTGACATGGATAACTCTATAACAAATATAAATATACTGGTTGGATTTGAATATCCTTGTATGGTAAAAGAATTTCACCTTATTGCATTTTATACTTCCAGTATTTTTAATCTGTTATAAAGTTGTACATTTTTAATCTTGTCACTTAACATTGTATTTTCTCTTTTTCGTATCTTCTTCTATTTATGATGCTGTGAGTATTCTTATCTAAGCAATATTGGAGCACACTACTGTTTACATAATGAGTAGATGATTTTGAACCGAAAATCTAAACAAAAAAGGAGGATGGTATCATCAAAACTATTTCTTTACAATAATAGGTTATATCAAAGTCTAAGGGACCTAACAGAGACTAATCCACATCCCATTAGCAATGATTGCCCGTGATGATTTACCCCGACAAATGGTGCAAAAGGCATGTCATATCTATTCGTAAGATAGGTCGTGTCAAATGTTATGACATCTCCAAATTCTTTGTACGCATATCTACACCTATTATCGGCCCAAAATACATTACGCAATCTTGACTCCTCATCTAAGTCAAGTGCAAAGAAAAATCTGGGGCATTGGTCTTGCATTTTAGCAAAGAACCCTTGAATGGCAATTGCATCGCCACTACCTAACCTAAGTTGTCTCACTTTATCTATATAGTTCCTACAATCTTTTTCAATGAAGGGAAGTTGATCATATCCGCGGTGAAGCTTTTATTAAGTCGTATTCCCGCAACTTCATTTATTGCAAGTTTCCTCGCCATTCCATGAGTCAACCTCCTATTGCACCAGAATAGTCTGGCCTTTGTTGGACTCATAGGGTGTGAATGTTGTAGAAACACTTTTGAAATTTGCCAAAGTCCCGAATAAATTACGTGCGCACGTAGTCTAGCTCCACACCCTATTTGCATTGAAGGTTGGGGCTTCAATTGATTTTTTGACCGAGTACCTCTATGACCAGCCCGCGAACACTCCAGTACAATTGACGCAATCTGTCTTCCTCTTTTGTCTTTCGTTGTGCTCCTAGTTCTTACAGGAAATCCCAAACGCTTCCCATATGCTTTGTAAAAATCATAGACCACTTCTCTACTTTCAAACTCCATACCAACTTCCGGATCTTTTCCAAGTTTTCTCTCCTTTGCCAACCTTTCTCCATCTGTTATGGTAAATTGCTCATTTATTCATGCATTTCAACAAACTTAAACTTACACAAAGACAGTGATATATGCACACACAGACAATTCCAAACTTTAACATACACGTTCAATACTACACAAACAAACAAGTCTTCCACTGTCTACATACAAAAACAAACACACACATAAACAAGTGACACCTCCTACAACTTGCATGTGTCCACAAACGTATGCATGCGTTTCAAACAATTTAGCACACACAAACAGTGATATATGCACAGACACAGACAATTCAAAAGCCTCACAGACACGTTGAATACTACTAAGGGGTAAGCACAGACAATTTAAAAGTTTCACAGATTTTTGAAGAAACATAAGCATGAGTTGAAACTAACTTAGGGGTACACAGACACATTATGTATCCACCACTATTTACGTACACAAACAATTAAACACATAAACACATAAGAACATGCCTGTGAGAAGAAAGCTATTTTAATCTTCAATAAACTACTAAAACCATGAGATGAAGTCATACCGAGGTCAGAAACGACGTCCATGGCCGTCGGCGACGTCTGTCCTTCATCCTCTCTGGCTAGGTCCGTCTCAACGTCACCTTCTCCACGTCGGCCACTGTGTCCATCACCTTCTCCACCTCCGGCCTTCTGTCCAGAGCCTTCTCCGCCCTCAGGAGTCATGTAATCACCTTCTCCACCTTCGGCCGTCTGTCCGTCGGTTTCTCCAGCTCCGGCGGCGTATCCACCTTCTCCACCGCCGGGAACAACATTCAACAAAGCTCAAAACTCAGCGTCGTTTCTCACCATGCTGTCGTCTGTGTAAAAATCCATGACAGAGGAAGTAAAACCCAGAAATTATCTTTGCTTTTGGTGCTTATGATCGTCGAAGGAAGAAGAGAGGAGGTGCGGGTGTTTTGATTTTCAAGAAAGGAGGGGAGCAAGTGGGTTACGCGGGTGAGGTGAGGGGAAAAGGGGAGGAGGGGAAAAGTGGGGGTAATTTTTTGGGGTGGTTATATAGTGTGTATAGGGTGGGTGCAATTATGTGTACAAAGAGCATTATTGTTTTTCTTTTTCTTTTTTGCTTTTTTACTTCTCTATCCATTGATTTGATTATGAGGTAAATGAATATAGAGCCCGTTTGGTAGCACAAAAATCGGTTATTTTGGCTGATTCTGCTGAAATTTATGAAGTTTTGGCTGAAGTGGCTGCATTGGCTGATCCTGCTCATTTAAGAAAAAAATATTTTTAAATTATATTTTATTAATAAAATAAAGAAAAAATTATATGTAAGAATAGCTAAAATGGTCATCTACAGTAACTTCAACCAATACAGCTAGAAAAATAATTCCAACCTTACTTTTTCTGCTTATTACACAATTCAGCGCACGAAAGCAAAAATTACGTGTTTGGTGAAAAAGTTGGTTGATAAGCCTGATAAGCCGAAAAACAGTGTTGCCAAACGGCCTCATAGCCCAAAGGATTAGATGGTAGTTCTAACTTTGGATGTTTGGAAAGGGCGTTTCAGTAAAAAAAAATAGCGACTTGACCTTTTTTAACGTTTTCAATAAATGAAACGTTATTTCGTTAATAGTTGTTCGGGCATATCGTTTTTTAACGGAGCCGTTGAAATAAAAACGATGCAAATAGAAGAATTTTGGGTTAGCGTTTTGAAATATGACATTTTATGCTAATTTCTATGACCAAACAGATAAATTACCAAATATCTTCTGACAACCCGCCAACATATTCCGCTAGTCAAATCTGTTGACTGAATCCGCTATTGATAACCCACTAACGTAACTCATTATTCGTTAACCAATCATCACTAAATACCAAACACGCTCTTTGAGCTTATCACTCTTTATCATTTTTTTTATAATTATACTCAATTCGTTCTCTTTTAATCGCAACACTCATTTTTTCATGTTTACAAACGCACAACTTTAAATATTAATAAATTTAATTCTCTATTAATTGCAACTTTAACTTTAACTATTAATGAATTTCATTTTGACTCCAATCACGACCCGGCGGCCATGTTACTCATATAACACCTTACAGCCTGAAGATATTGTTAAGGCTTATAACACCTTGTCATTGCAGCAGCCCGATGATTCTTAATATATGGACACCAGGACCACTTCTCATCTTACGGTTAATCCAGATACCTTGACTTGTGTTTTTAATAAAAGCAATGTTCGCTCAATTTTTGTTGGTAATGGTAATTGTATTCCAGTTATTGTTTGTGAAGCCAAAACTTCAACCCTGTTTGACCACCAACTTTGTCTCAAAAATACCTTGATCGCCCCACATATTATAAAAAACCTTGTTTCTGTTCGAAAATTTATCAATTATAATAACCTCTATGTCAAATTTGACCCAACTGTTTTTTCTGTGAATAATCTAACTACGGGGAACAGTATTGTGAGATGCAATAGTTCTAGGGAGATTTAACCTATCACTGGCAATAATATTGCGTCCACCACCACCCCCATCTCTCTTGCTTTTGTACACCCGAACGTTGGCATGAGCGGCTAGATCATCCGGGCAAAACTGTTTTAGACTTACTTCGTAATAAGTTTTTAACTAATGTTTTCAAACTTTGTTATTCTTCTCAAGTTAGTAAACATGTTCGGTTACCTTTTCCCCCTTCTGGGCCTAATACTACTGCTCCCTTTAATATTATTCATAGTGGTTTGTGGAGATGTCCTTTTAATAGTAACACTGGTTTTCGTATTATCTTATTTTATAAGATGATTTTACCAACTATCTTTGGGTCTATCTACTTAAACTCAAACCTCAAGTTTTCGGAAAATTTCTTGAGTTTAGTAGATTTCTACGCACTCAATTTGAAAGAGAAATTAAATCTTTTCAATGTGATATAGGACGTGAATTTGATAACTCCATGTTTCATACGTTTGCTAAAGAACGTGGTTTTGTTTTCCGATTCTCTTTCAAACGTCACCCCGGACCGGTAAAGCCGAACGGATGAATTGCCGCGTAAATGACATCACCCGCACCCTTATAATTCATGCTCCCATCCATCCAAAATATCGGGCTGACTCTCTATGGTTGTTCATCTTCATAACATCCTGCCCACAAAAAACCTAGCCTTTTGCTCTCCGATATTATCCCTATACCAGCATCAACTTACATAAGACCACCTCCGTAATTTGTTGCCTCCTCTTCCCTGTCTCCCTCACATCCGCCTCCACCCCCTCCTCTTCTTCTTACTCACTCTATGGCCGCGCGCGCCTCCCACTGAATCTTTAAACCTAAACTCGTGCTTCACCTTCATGTACCAACCCTCACCCCTATATCACCTCTCCAACGCTCCCATGTATCTGCCCTTCAAAGCTCTAAATGGAATGTTGGCATGAAAGACGAGTACAATGCTTTATTAAAAACACACACTTGGGATCTGGTTCCACGCCCCCTGGTGCTCATGTTATTCGCTTTATGTGGCTATTCTCGCATAAGTTTCACTCAGATGGTTCCCTTCAACATTATAAAGCTCGACTGGTTGCAAATGGAAAATTGCAGCAACTTGGCATGGATTGTTTTGATACTTTTAGTCCTGTGGTTAAACCGACCACAATTTGTACCGCTCTCACTATTGTCACTTTTCAATCATTGCCCATTCACTAGTTGGATGTTAAGAATGCATTTCTCCATGGGGACTTATCTGAGACTGTCTATATGCATCGGCCCCTGGCTTTACAGATCCAGCTCGCCCAACCCATGTATACCTATTACGTAAATCTCTATATTAGTCTTAAACAGGCACCTCGAGCCTGGTTTCAATGATTTGCTACCTTCATCACCTGTTGTGGCTTTCAGGGCAATAAATGTGACTCCTCTCTATTTGTGTATCACACTGGCTTTGACACTGCGTATCTCTTACTCTATGTGGATGACATACCTCTCACTGCTTCATCGGATAAGCTTCTCCGTCATTTTATTACTTTGATGAAGAGAGGATTCTCCATGATCGACCTTAGGTCTTTGCATAATTTCCTCGGCTTGATCGTCACTCGCTCTACATCTGGTCTATTCTCTCACAATCTCTCCATGTTCAGGAAATATTTGCTCTTGCTGCTATGACAAACTGCAACCCCGCAGCCCTGTTGACACCTCTGCCTAACTAAGTGCCTGTACCGACTCCTCTTCAGTTGATTCCACCCTATATCGCAGTCTTACTGGAGCTCTGCAGTATTTAACCTTCACTCAACCTGACATCTCTTATGTCATCAAGCATTTATGCTTATTTATGCATGATCCACGAACAACTCACTTTCAAACACTTAAGCGGATCTTACGTCACTTAGAAGGTACACTTGATCATGGCCTATTCATCTCCTCCGGTCCCATCTCCGGTCTCATTGCTTACTCTGATGTTGATTGGGCCGACTGCCCTGATTCTCGGCGATCCACTTCCGATTTCAGTATTTTTCTTGGTGATAATCTCATCATGTGGTATTCTAAATGCCAAGCTAGCGTCTCCCACTCTAGTTCTGAAGCTAAATATGGATGAGTTGCTAATGCTGCTGTTGAAACATGTTGGCTTCACAATCTCATTGTCGACCGTCATCTCCCTCTTCGACGTGTCACTATTGTTTAATGTGATAACATCAACGCCGTATATCTCTCGAGCAACCCTGTTCAACATCAACACACTAAGCATGTTGAGATTGTCATTCACTTTGTTCGGGAACGAGCTCAACTATGAGACATTCGGGCCCTTCATATTCATGATGAGTATCAGTATGCTGACATCTTTACTAAAGAACTTCCTCGACTGTTATTTCTTCGCTATCGTGATAGTCTCAGCATCTGTCCTTCTCCTACTGCGACTATGGGGGTGTAATAGCTTACCCTATTTAGATGTGATCTCTAGCCATATTTTGATGATTTGTAATTTCTAGTTGTTTTGTACCCTATCTGTATTTAAAAAATCATTACATTAGGTCTTGATACAATTTTTAAGGAAATAGTATGAGTAATGAATAGTGTAAAAAAGTAGGAGAAAAACTAAAAAGGTAAGAAAGAGAAGGTAAAAAATAGAAAAAGTAATGGTAATTAGGTATCTAAAAGGAAAAAATTAACACATAAACAAAGACCCCGTTTGGCAGCACGCAAATCGGCTGATTTGACTGATTCTGATGGAATTTATGAAGTTGTGATTGAAGTAAATGCAATGACTGATTCTGCTGATTTAAGAACAAAATTTGTTTAAAATATATTCTATTAATAAAATAAAGAAAAAAATCATATGTAAAATAGCTAAAATGGTCATCTGCAGTAACTTCAGCCAATACAACCAGAAAAATAATTTCAACCTTACCTTTTCTGCTTATTATACCAAAACTTTTAAATACAAAATGAGTATATCCGTTAATATCTTCTTGTATTTACTCTCCTTACCATGATTACTCTGATACGAGCCCAAATTAAGACGTGTGGCTATCATGCTCCAATAGTCCAATTGCTCTTGTGTAAAATTAAGCTAATGTAAAGGTTTCCCCTCAAGGGAGTTTGCTTATTCTCCCATACTGAGTACTCACTCCTCTCTATTTTGTTACGTTTAATTTTTATTCGAAATAATGGATTTGTATTTTAAATTTGTATCTTTACTATATACAAACCATAATATATACGAAGTAATTTCTACTTTTCTTACTTCCTCCGTTTCTATTTGTTTGATATAGTTGGCTTATCAAAAATAAGGAAGATATTTATTGGGGATAAATTTTACTGTCTGAACACTATTTGGCATTGTTTTGCACCGTTTTGTTTATCAAATGAGAACTGTGCCATTTATTTTGAAATGTCCAAAAAAGAAAGCGTCTCAAACAAACGGAAACCGAGGGAGTATTTTACACCTAACACAGAGTTTGGTTACTCACTTAACACAAA